TTGAGTCTCGTTCCCATTAATCTGTTCGTGGTTCCAATGTATACTTTGCCGCATGAACACGGTATGCAGTAGACTCCTGCAGCTGAGAGTGGGTCCTTCCTGTCCTTTGCCGATCTGATGGTTTGTTGGATCTTCTTCGTAGGCTTGAAGATTGTTTTAATGTCATGTCTCTTCAGGACTCTGCCAATCCTGTCCATGATTCTTGGCACAAATGGAAGATACGCTTGAGAGGTGGTGGGACGCTGTTCGGTTTCAGGTGGCCTGATTGATCTCGAGCCCATTGATCTTTCGATGTCCCTCTTACTGTAGCCATTTGCTTCGAACGCAGTTTCCAGGTATTCAAGTTCTGTCTGGAGGTTCTCCGGTTCGCAAATCTTTCGAGCTCGTTCTGTCAGGGTTCTGATGACTCCATACTTCTGACTTGGGTGATGATTGGACAAAGCGTGCAGGTATCTGTCTGTGTGCGTTAGTTTCCTGTACACTGTGTGACCCAGCTTGTTACATCGCTTCCTGACTAGTACGTCCAAGAAGGCCAGTTGTTGGTCACTCTCTATCTCCATGATAAATTGTATGCTTGGATGCCGATCGTTGAAGTGCTGCAGAAACTCGTTTAGCCTGTCCGTGCCATGTTTCCAAATCACGAAGGTGTCGTCCACGTACCGGAACCAAATTGCTGGTTTGTTCTCCGATGTTTCAACCGCCTTCTTCTCAAAGTGTTCCATAAAAAGGTTGGCTATGACTGGGCTAAGTGGACTTCTGTCTGCTCATAAAAGCCCCCATCCCATACGAAGTAGCTTCCAGTGAGACAGATTTAGGTATACCTACCTTTATTATATAAAAGTTACTAAAAATTTCATGGAGAATCTAAAAGTTTTAAAAAAATGGGTTTCCATTTAAACATCTCAATATCTTATTTTTGAATCTTTCGGTACTGTACGACTACAGATGAAAGACGTCCCTCTAGAAATCAAAACTGATGTGTCCGAGCGTTTTTCCCAAAATATACCAGGAGTCACAAATTGAGGTGCGTCCTTTTCGTTGGGCCACCCTGTATATAAAACAGAAAATAATCAATACGAACTCAGAGGTACTTGTCAGACAGAGCCAAAGGACTCAGAACTTATTTAAAAAATACAAATTATTGCTGGCTCACCTAAATGCCAAGACTTGAAAACGAGGGAGTGCAGTAGTCAATAGAAAGAGGGCATAGTTCTATTACTTTTCAAGCCTTTTTCCGACAGCTTCTGACATTTGTGAACGCATCAGTTTTCCGCACAATAATAACTTCATTCTTAGATATGATACGGCAAGACTCCGGCACTTTTTCTCCTGCACAATGACTAGGGGAGAGCGATTCTTCTGTCAAGAAATTGTTGAACACAGGTCTCTGGAAAACTAATGCAACTATATTCACTTTCTATTAGTTATACCATTCCCTCATTTTCAAGAAGTGAAGTGATTTTCCAAAAGGTGAACATCGTTTGTTGATCGCAAAGATATGGATATACGCTTTATTCGAACTTTAGATGTCAGATCTAGAATGAGCCTATCTCTACTTCTTCAAATGAGTTGTAATGTGCATTTAATGTTAGTTTGAGATAACACTTTGAGTTTTGAAAGCCAAGACGGGCTGGACTATACAGGGTGACTTACAAGTCGTGACCAAAAATAATGAAATATCATACACAGGACCGCATTTTAAAGGGGGTCTTATATGTAACATTTTTTCCTCGAGGACTTCATTAAAAAGATGCGAGGTGTTGAAGTTTAAAAATATTTTTTTTTTCAATATCTTCAAAACCTTCAACTGGAATGAACTAAAATTTGGTATATGGATTTACTCAAGTATTTTCCCTCATTCAAAAGTAGTTAATTAAAATTGACGTGCACTAGTGGCAGAGATACAGGGGATTAGTGGAATTATTTTTCCAAATAAAAATAGTACATCACCGGTTTTTCAAAACTCGCAATTTTTCGAATGTTACCTTCAACTTGCTACAAATAATTACTCTTGTTTTTTTCCTAGAGTGCACTGATTTCGGAGAAGTAAAAATAAAAAAAATCATCCATGAAGAGCAGAGATACAATTAGTTTCAAAATGAAATAGGAGGCCTTGTTACCAATTTGACGTTTCTTGCGAGATAGTTTGTCAACGTTATGTGTTATACGGTTGATATCGTTACTACTACAATTTTTTGTTTTTTTTTTAAAAGTCAAGTCAAAAGTTCCTTTTTTCCATTTTTGAGTGTTGTGAAATGGAATTTAACAATGATGAGTAAGCCGATATTATTTTTGTGTACGGGTTCTGTAACTGAAATGCTTTAGCGGCTTGTCGGTAGTATCAATGTACGAGACCCTTCCCACTTCAGTTGGCCCAACTATTGAAATCTTAGTTTTTTTCTTATCAAACACAAATAATAAAAATGTATCAGGGTGTTATAGGTTTAAAATATTAACAATGAATATTTTGATAATATACATATATAATAAATAAATAATTTGCAGCATAAAAATAACACGTTGCAATTGCAGCATATCAACCGATTTTCATTTCAATGCAAAATAAGTCTATAACGCATAGGCGGCTGTGAAAAATAAAAGCCATGACAATTGTTTTTATTAATCACAGCTGTCAGAATACGTTTAAAATAGTTTTGGGTAGTTAAGGTTTTCAAAATGGGTAGAGGAAAGGTTATTAGTGAGAAAATTCCGTTACTGATAATTAAATTTTTTAATTCTGGGAAATCAAACTCAGAAATTGCAACTTTGTTAGACTTATGGCGGTACAGTGTGAGAAATATTGTTAGAAGATATAACGTAACTGGTTCCGTTAATATTAAGCCACGATATGTGAAAAAAGTAATATCACAAATGCCGACCGAATAGCATTGAGAAGAATAAACGTGAAAAACAGGCGTGCCAGTTATTTACAATTAAGTGCTCTGAGGAGTGACGCTGTTGGAAGGAGAATTTCGAGGTCCACAACTCATAGAGGCCCACAAACTGGGATTTAGCACTTGCAAGGTAAGTTTTCTTATAAAAAAAGTTGCACAACTTGTTTATAAGCCAAAGAAAAGCCACTATTAACTCCACTGCAAAAGAAAAATCGGCTTAGATGGGCTAAAGAACATAGACAATGAACACCTCAATAATGGTGTGCAATACAATGGAGTGATGAGGCCCGAGATTCGAAGTTTGTGTGAAATTTCCAGCATCCATTATGGTCTGGGGCAGTACGTCATCAAAAGGAGTAGGAAATCTTCCATTTTATTGATGGAAATGTGGATACAGACAAATATTTGGCAATTTTAGAAGAACCGCTTTTACCAGTGATGGAAGAATGTTTGACATCCGGCCAAGATTTTGTGTTTCGACAAGATGGTGCAGCGTGCCATACCTCAAAAAAGGCTATAAAATGGATGGAAGAAAATGATGTACCACTTTTGAAATGGGTTTCTAGCAGTCCAGATCTGTCACCTATTGAAACTTTCTGGCACGAGATGAAAAGGGTTCTACAACATCCTGCTCGTACAATCACCGAACTGAGACGAAAGCTTCAAGTAATATGGGATTTTTTTACACCAAATTTTTGCCAAAACTTGATTAACTCTATGCCCCAAAGAATTTCGGCCGTAATAAAAAATAAAGGTGATGTTACCCAATGGTAATCTTTCAATTGTTGCTTTGTTAACTTCGCGCATTTATTCTAACATTGTTTATTTGTTCAGATGTTCTATTAGTTATAGGTCTAAGTGATTTCAAATATGTATTTTTTACGACTGGAGTGTATCTAAAATGTTTTTGAGAAAATAAATTGTTTTAGAAGTAAATAGTTTCGTCATGTTTAGTTTATAAAGGCATATTTTGGTACAAATCTTGGAGTGGGCCAAATGAAGTGGGAAGGGGCTCGTAGATTTCCTAACAGACGCCAACCTACCCCAAAGGTTTTTAGGCATTCATTTCTAAGAATTCAGCAATCTGTAATTGCCAAACATCCTGGCGTTAGAGGTCTTGGTGTCCGGCATAATATTCAAGAGGAACTGGAAGTGATTAATTTGGCGTTGGGTGATCCTAGTACAAGTACTAGGCGGATTGCAGCTTCCATGTTCCCAAAGTCTTGCGTGTAGAATTTTAAATCGGAAAGTTTTATATGCTTACCACCGGCAAAATGTGCAATGTCTGCGACGAAGTGCAACGGCGATATTCTTGTAAGTGGTTACCGCAAATGCATAATGAAAATGCAGATTCTATTGATTTGGTTTTGTGGTCAGATGAATCGCTTTTTACGAGGAGTGGAACCTTTAATTCTCATAATGAACATATTAGGTCGTTAGAAAATCCCCGTTCTGTAAGAATCCACTGGTTTCAACACATTTTCTAGAAATGTTTGGTGCGGCATTTTCAATGGATGGCCAACTTTTTAATGCAAACTCACACTTAGCTTTTCTACAGAATTACATAGAAAATGTGTTAGATTATGTTCCGTTAGCAAACGAATGTGGCATCAGCACGACGGCCCCACCGCATGTTCGTCGTGACATAACCGCATAGTTACATAATCATTTTAGGCAACGATGCATTGGCAGAAGCGGACCCGTACATTGGCCGGTTGCGAGGTCTCCTGATTTGAACCCCCTGGATTTCTTTTTGAGGGGCGCTTTTGAACAACTAGTGTATGCTGAAGAAATTAATACTGTTGATCAGTTACAAAAAAGAATAGATTATGCGTTTCATGAGCCACAGCAAATTTTGCGGAAATACGTTGTTCTTTATCAAAAAGATGCCATGCCACACTTGTATCCATCACAATGGTGGTCTTTTTGAAAATTTATTGAAATAAAGCTTTATCTAATTTGTTTCTTTTTACGAGAACAATGGACTCTAGGAAAAAACAAGAGTAATTATTTGTAGCAAAATAAAGGTAAAATTCAAAAAATTGCGTTTCGAAATAAAAAACAGTGGCGTACTATTTTTATTTGGAAAAATAATGCCACTAATTCCCTGTATCTCCGCCACTGGTGCACGTTAATTTTAAGTAGACTTGAATGTGGACAATACTTAGGTAAATCCACATACCAAATTTTAGTTCATTCCAGTTGACGGTTTTGAAGATATTAAAAAAAAAATGTTTTTTATTTTTAAACTTCATTTTTTTAATGGAGCCCCCGAGGAAAAAATGTTACATAGAAGATCCGGCTTGAAATTCGGTCCTGCGTATGATGTTTCATTTTTGGTGACGACTTGTGAATCACCCTGTATTCCTATTTTCTGTGGAAATGGGATAATGAAAAATTGAATTAATATTACATATTGCTTTATTTAAAAAAGTCGGATTTCAAACCAAAACATGGAAGGTTAGATAAATGCAGCGTTACTACATTGTAATTTCTTATTCAGTATGTTAAAAAATCGGTGATGGCGCTATTTTTTGTCAATTACAAATCAAAGTAGCAACTGGTTTTAATAAGAATTATCAAGGATTGATGCTTTTTAATTGTTAGATAGTAAAATTACACTAACCCTAGCAACAGCGTAATTACAAGGGTCGATATTTAAACTTATCGATCACGAACCAGATCAAAACCATCTTTAAGAATACACCAACACCTAACATGGAATGAAATTAGAATTTAGCGGATGGAAAATGTATAGTGACAAGGACTTGACAAAGTAATCGTCCGTAGAATCTATCGAGTCTTAATACGAGTAAATGAGAAATATACATGAACAAAAGAGGAATTTACAGTTGTCCACAATCGGAAACGACGATCTTTTTGGATGTCTTGCCCGACTGAGAGCCAAAGGACTCGATCTTCTTGACGATGTCCATGCCCTCGACGACGTTTCCGAAGACAACGTGCCTGTTATCCAGCCAGGACGTCTTTACGGTGGTGATGAAGAATTGGGAACCGTTCGTATCAGCACCGGCATTCGCCATTGACATTACTCCAGGGCCGGTGTGTTTCAGGGTGAAGTTCTCATCAGGGAATTTGTTTCCTATGGAAAATTCGCAAAATTTAGCTCAGTGTAAACAAAATCAAGGGCTTTTGTACTCATTCTACATATACAGTGAAAGCTCCCATAAGCGGACACTCACGGTTCCGTAACTTTTGTCCGCTTATGGGAGGTGTCCGTTTAAAAGAGAGTATGTAAGTATAGAGTATAAATAACGGGGTATATAATCATGAGGAAATGAGGTATTATAATCATGAGAAAAATGAAACAGAAACTCGCCACATTTTTAAAGTATGTATTTATGCTATATATCTATATAATATATGTACATATACGCATACAAAAACATAAATGCTTCAATACATGGTACGAGAATTTAAAAAAAACATTATTCTTTAGCTTGTTGAAAAAGTTTAAAATGTTTGTCTGACGAAATTTCACCATCTTTTGCTGAAGGAGACAATTTTCGTAATAACTTTCTAGATTTTTCAAATGTTGAAATGCAGTGAAATCATCTTTAGAAAATTTTTTCAATATAGAAATATGATTTAGAGCTTCCCCATATGAATTTATCGTTTTTGAACCGCTTAGTGAGTCCACCAGTTCCACTTCTTCTTCTGAGTCGTTTGGACTACCATATTCAAGTTGGCCTGGGCTTTCTACATCCAAATTCGAAAAGTTGCCAATGGCATTTTCTTCTGTTGTTATGTTATTGTCTATGGCCAGGAAATCATCTACTTTCTGGGGATCTGCTACTCCTAAATGTTTGGCATGTCGCAGTAACTGAGCAAGTGTCGCTAAGGGCAGATCGTCTTCAGCATCGCAATAATTTTGCTCAGCAAATTCTGAGCTACATTCACTTTTTCTGAATCCAGCTTTGCCAAAACAGTTTTTAATTGTAGAGGAATTTACTTTATTCCATGCTGTTTTTATAAAATACAAAGCTTCTAACACATTGATAGACTTTGTAAGCTCAGATAAGCTTTGACCATCGTCAATTTTTGTTAAAATATGTTTTAAAATCAAGTGCCGATAATAAAATTTAAAGTTCTGTATGACACCTTGATCCATGGGCTGACAAACAGTAGTTGTGTTTGGCGGTAAAAATATAATTTTCACATTTTTCATTTTCATATCACGAGGATGAGAGCATGCATTGTCTATAAATAAAAGAACTTGCCTTTTTTGGATTCTCATTTTCCGGTCGAATTCGACTAACCACTCAGACATGATTTCTCGTCATCCATGCCTTTTTGTTGGATTTCCAAGTAGCTGGTAGATCCTTAATAGCAACGTTTTTTAAAGCACGGGGACGAGCCGCTTTCCCGATCACAATCAAATCGCATTTTTCACCGACCATATTTGCACAGAATAAAATGGTTAGTCTATCTTTAAACAACTTTCCACCCACACATGTTTCTCCTTTAAAGGACAGAGTTTTGTCGGGCAATGCGCGAAAAAAAAGTCCACTCTCATCTGCGTTGTACACATCTTCTGGTTTGTAGCCAAGCAACATGGACGGAAGTTTCTCCAAAAATTGTGACACATCAACTTGATCTACTGCAGCAGCTTCGCCAGATATGCATTTGAAACTCACACTATGTCTCTTGCGCCACTTTTGCAGCCACCCGTCGGACGCACTGAAATTATTATAGCCCAAAGTAGTGGCGATTTCTTTAGCTTTCATTTTCACTAACGGCCCTGAGATTGGAATGTTCTGACTTCTAGCTTTCACAAACCACTCAAAACATGTTTTGTCTATAGCAAAACCTTCCTTTTTTAAAAAATCCTTCTTTTGATTTATATTAGTTCCTGATTGCCATTTACTCCTGATATCTTCCTTATTTTTGGCAATTTCAGCTGCTTGCGTTTTCCCAATATTAAACCTCTTTGCCAAATGACGAACTGAAACACTTTCTCTGTCTAATACGTTAACAACTTCCATCTTTTCCTTTAACGAGAGCATCCTTTTTTTTGGTGCCATTTTACAGTTACAATAATAAAATACGTAACTCAATCAACTACGAATTTGCCTGTACTGAAGACAAGCCACAAGATTACATACAGGCTACCCAACGAAATGCGTAAATGGGGAATCACCTAATATAAATCGGGGAATTACCGAATTTTATGTATGTAGATATGTGCATTGCAATAAGCGAAACTAAAAAATCGTCCGGGTATTAGAGTTTCGCGTCCGCTTATGGGAGATTTTTTGATCACATACAGGAAAATCTAGTGTCCGTGTCCGTTTATAAGAGCGTCCGTTTATCGGAATGCATTTAACATTGAAAATTGATGGCTGAAATTCGGTTCCAGGAACTTTGTCCGGTTAAAAGAGATGTCCGCTTATAGGAGCTGTCCGCAAGGAGAGCTTTCACTGTATAACAACTCTGCATTTTGTTAAACGCTTAATGTGTTGGGAAGTAGTAAAACATATCTTTTATGTCGGTATTGAAATATCGAATGACTGATATTTACCAACCGAGTGATTTGGTTATGCGTGTTTCTGAAACGTCAATTTACTACAATTTTAGTCATGAATCGCTTTACACCGAAACAACGCGCCGAAACAGTCACAATGTACATTCAAAATCGTCGTTCAGTTGCGTTAACGCAACGTGCATATCGTCGAAAATATCGTGGCAAACAGGCACCCGTCTGACAACACTATCCGTCGTTTGGTTTCGAATTTTCTTGAGTACTGGACAGTGCGAGATCATCAACATACAGTTCATCAACGACCAAGACGTTCCAATGAAATAGTTGAAGCGGTCAGAGACAGCGTTACCCAGAACCCAAAAGTGTCGTATCGTCACCGCGCTCAGCATTTTGGTATCCGTGGACCCACGTTGCGTCGCATTTTGCCGTGGAACCACGTTGCATTGCATTTTGAAGGATGATTTGCATTTGTTTCCTTATAAGGTGCAGTAAACACAAAAAATATTGCCAACTGACCGTCCACGTCGCTTGGAATACGCCCAAACAGTCGCTCGCGTGGTTGATGCTGAACCTGATTTTTATATACACACACATATATATATATATATATATATATACAGGGTGACTTCGAAGTTGAGTCATTTATTTTAACAGTGAGTAGATCTGATCAATAGAAATGTTTTTTTCCTTTACCATTTTTCTGGTAAAATTAAAGTAACAAAGTTATAGCCCTTTGGAAGTTTGAGTACCGCCCTGTCTCAATAATAATATCATGTACTCGTGTTTGGCAACAACGGATATAATCCGCCTTACCGGTTCATCGCATCGGAAACAAAAAAGCGAAAGAATTTGGAACGATGCTTTTGCAATTAAGTATTTTATTCAGTTCAGTTATACATACAGTCAGTGTCTGTCGGTTAGCGTGTGAATAGTGTCTGTTGCGTGGCTCAAACGAAATAAAAAATGGCACATGTTTATGCGGATCGGTTTCCCAATCGAGTGCAACCAACCCCTCGTGCCTTTGTTAATGTAGTACAACGGGCTCGTGAATCAGGTGACTTAAGACCTCACAGGGGACCTCACGATCAAATACAGGTCCGCACTGAAATACTTGTCGGGAGGATACTTTATAAAACAAGGTAAACATTTTTTTTTTAATTTTTTTTTATTTTTACACACATATTCTGGTTTATCTTCCTTCTACAATCATTATCTGAAAATTAATGACTCAACTTCAAAGTCACCCTGTATATTTCAAAGAGGTGCAACGCGTTGTGAGAATGATTTTCGGTTTGCAATGGTTAGGAATAGCGTCTATCGTCAGTACAGCATGTCCATTAAGTAGCATATATCCCAACTCTGCCTCAAAGTACCACGCCAATATTAGCGACCTGGATTTTTGTTTTAAAGCAAGCAAAATGTCAAGCTATAAAAATGAATTTTGCTAAACTGTGCAGTTGGGAAAACTCAGCAGTAAATAAACAAGTTTTTTGCAGACTTGATTTTGCTAATTCCTGCCTTAGAAGCTTTTGAGAGTCACAAAAAGATTATTTTATCAGTGATAGCACACAATGATACTAAAACTATCACTAAAATTGGAGTTATCACCTTTAAAATAGACCTCAAAATATGAATGTCAGTGATCATTCTAGTAACACAATGCAACTTAATGTCAGCACATGCCAAAACCACTGCAGGATTTTCAAATTTGATGAAAATGAACTATATCAAAAATACTAAAGGGAAAACTTCAAAATTTCTATTGCACCACACTTCATGCAAAAACTATTTTTAGCTAACAATCAGTTTACTTATGTGTTACTTTGATGTGAAGTCTCCATTTGATGCTGACCACTGAAGTTATAAGCTTACCATAAATTGATTTTCCACCAGTGCCATTGTGGTTGGTGAAGTCACCTCCCTGGCACATGAAGTTGGGGATGACACGATGGAAGGTGGAGCCCTTGTAGCCAAATCCTTTCTCGCCTGTGCAGAGGGCGCGGAAGTTTTCGGCGGTCTTCGGTACTACATCGCTGCGGAGCTGAAAATTGAAATCTTGTTAGAAAAAAGGTGACATTTGGGTCTCTGTGGATCGCCATATATCAATGTTTTTTCCTCATCTATTACCAGGCAAAATGGTAATTAAACATTGTAACCGCGAAATATGTAAGATGTTTTTAGAATGTTACGTGCAAAACACTGCTACTCATTTTCGTTTTAGTATATATGTCTGTCTATAGTAAACACTGGCCCAACTAAACTGATGGACAGTTGATTTGAAACAGGAAAAATTTTACCCAAATTCAAATCTCGATATTTTACTTATTTATCCACTTATACAGGGTGAGCAAAGGAAGTCATGTTTTTTTAAAAAAAGTTTGGGGCTATGTCAGATTCTCAATTTTTGATTTTGAAAATTTTTCTATGCATTTTTTTAATCTTTAGACTATCCCAAAAAAGTGATATCTCAAATTTTTCGAAAGTTGTCTATAACTCAAATTATCGAATTATAAAATTCCCGCAATAATTGTCTTTAGGCTCGACCCGGTTTTTTTGGACCCTCTCCATGCAAATAGGACGTTTCTCCGGTTTCATCCTAACTACCTACTCCTATATAACTTTATTTTCTCAAAAATACCTCGTCTTTTTCAAAAAGAACGAGAGAATTGTGTAAGATTATTCGGAGAAGGTCGTTTAGTGAATGATGTAGCTTTAATTTATAATGTTGATCGTTCCTCCATATACCATTTAACACATTGACTGCGAACTGGGATGAGGATACCCACCTCAGAAACTGAAATACTTTTTTCCTTTTTTTGGAAGCCGGCAGAGAGCGTCGAAAGACGCCGTTCGCCTCCCACCACAGGAGCGGAGGGCGTCTTTTGACGCTGTTCGCACTGAACGTGTTAAGGCGTAGATATCAGGATACTGGGGGAAACGTCCTACTTGCATGGAGGAAATAATAAAAAAATACGAGGTCGGACCGAAAGACATTCATTGTAGACAAAGGAGGATCCTTTCACCCACAACCTTGAATGAAACCTTACAGCGGCACAGTGGAATAATAGCATCCAATCGTTCTGTAAAAAGTTTAATTCTAATTTGCATCTCTTCTAGAGCAAAGCGTCGCGCCAATATTGTACGTTTTGCACAAGATTTTTTCTTCATCGATGATAACGCCAGGCCGCACAGAGAGCTTGTTCGGTTATAAACTTTTTGGCAGAAACTAATGTTACATTATTGCCTCTGTCATCAAAGTCTCCAGATCTCATAATTGAGCATGTGTGGTCTCGGTTAAAATTTTTAGCGTGGTCAAGACAAAATGCTGTTTGAGGCCATTCAGGAAGAGTGGGAAAATGTATCCTGAAAAAATATTAATAACCTTAACTAAAGTATGGCACAAAGGTGCCAGGCTGTGATCGATGTGCATTGTGGCTCAACAAGGTTCTAACAATATTGTTTAAAATAACTGCTGCTGTTTTGTAAAAAGTTCGTTTTTGCCATAAATAAATAATTTAGGTATTTCCCTGGTCTTCAAATTTTTGTTTTCTAAAATGTTACGTACTGTTGTTAATGTTAATCAATAAATTCTGTGATGTTTAAAAATTTAATAGTCTATTGACTATTATTTTCATTACTGACATGTCTGTGAATGCTTGTGCATTTTTTTATGATCAATAAAGATTATTATTATTATTGAAAAACATCTCCAATGAAGACGCGTACGCCAATGCTGAAGATAAAAATAAAATTTAAGTTTTTAGCACTTCTTACCAAACCAAAAAATGCTTTTAGTGTTACGCTACTGGAATACATCGCTATATCAAAATTTATAAATTCGGTTTAAATGGCATAATGTCAAAGTAATTTTTTACTGCACGCCACTGAAGGCAATAACGTTCAATTAGTGATTCAATCCTTTCTGGGTCGCGAGAAATTCCACTTTATGTAACAGTATGGGAAAAAATACCCATTCTGAAGAGAACCCCAAAAAGTCCCTTTTTAGGGATAAATGTAACACATTTTTATAATTCGATAAATTGAGAAATTACTTTTATTAGGATAGTCCAAAGATCAAAAGAGGCATAGAAAAATTTCCAAATCATTGAGAATCTGACATAGCCCCAAAATTTGCTAGAACAACCTGACTTCCTTCGCTCACCGTGTGTAAGTGAATAAATAAAATAAATATACCCGAACCCGGACACCGCAACTCGGTATCTCTTTTCGTTCCGAAAATATCGAGATTTGAATTTGGGTAAAATTTTCCATGTTGCAAAGCAACTGTCCACCAGTTTACAACCAGGAAACTGCTGCTTGAATTTTGATAGATTATTGGCACAAAGTTAGTATGCCAAGGATAAGGAAAAGGCTTTGTGAGTTTTTTGAAACTCGCTCCAATGGAGGTGAAGTTAAAAACATTAACATAAAACATTTCAGAATGTTCCTTAGCTGTGTTTTTAACTTTTTCCCAAAATCTCGATAATTTTTGGTAGTCAATATACTGAAGCAGTCACACTGGTAGAAACCTAAATACCAGACCACAGCTGCTGCTATATAGAAGACGGTTTGTTAAACGGATTTTTTAACTGCTCAACGTTAGCAGAACTGGGAAAAATCTCCTCTGGCAGACTTACACAATCTCAACAACCTAGGAATGAAGGTGCAGCAAATATTCAGGTGAAACTGCCAACCATGTTAAACCATCCCAAATGTGTGGAATATTCAAACAAATTAAATATCTAGTAAGAGAATTGGCACGGTTTTTTTTTCACATAACTTACATTTACCTGATTAAGTTTAAACCTGATAGGATTTGTATGAGGTTTTCTATAGTAATTTCAGCATAAGGCATAGCCCAAAATTACCTCAAACAACCCAAATATTAATCTAGCAGGCTTCAGGAAGATTCAAGCAATAGTTATGCCTTAAATCAGCTGTTTTCCTGCATTTTGAGTAAGTGTCCTTTTGAAAATGTATATTCACTGAATCAAAGCAGTTACGTCACAACGTCAAAAAATGACAGTGACGCACATGGTTGCCACATTACTTAAAACTACTAGATCCTAGGAAATAAACAACAGCCATTGGCGTAATTACCTGATAAGCTTTGCGACCATGTCGCAACACAGAAAACTGTTACCAACATAAATGTACCCAGGAAATTCAAACTATATGTACCAATTTAGGATCTATTTTGCATTTAGGTTGGCATTCAAATTTACTAAATATGACAACTGCTTTGTTTCAGTGAAAGGGCAGCATTGTCAATTTTGAATAAGAAATATACAGGGTGTTTGGTACATGAATCAACAACATTTTTTGCGCGATTGGGAATGCTCTTTGATGATTTTTAGTAGAAACAGCAATGCTCTAAGGGCCACGGTTACCGAGATATGATCGGTTTTTTTTTTGCTGAACTACCTACAATTGCGCATAAATATCGTTATAACTTTTTGTTTCTAGAGATAATGCCACAAAATGATGTATAGTTTATCATTGGAAAGGCAGTAAATCACAAAATTTTTGTAAGTAAAACTAGGTTTTCGAAAAAGGTATAGTGTTTTATAATCGAATTTGAAATCATTTATATACTCCACGTGATTGTATGACTTTGGACGGTCGTAAGTCATTTGTTTGAGAAGATTTGCACGAACTCTGATCTGATTGAATATACATTACAGAACAGACTCACGTTTATTTTGTGTCATTATCTCTAGAAACAAAAAAGTTATAACGATGCGCAATTGCAGACAATTCGGAAAAAAAAAACGAAAAACGATCATAAAAATGATCAAATAGCGTCCCCAATCGCCCAAATTTTGTTGGTTCAACACCCTGTAGAAGTGGAAAAAGTTCATTTTAGTAGAAAAACAGGAATCTGTGGAGAATGTAAAAATAAAGGTGTCCGGAAAGGATAATCCTGCAGCTGCAAATAGCTCACACAATGTACTATGTATAAGAAAAAATTTCTTTCTGCAGTTTTCAAGATTTTCAGTATTTGATTTTTTTTTATGAACTTATAACCTTTTTGAACTAGGTTTGTTTTAGAATATTCATCCCACCCATTTTTTGTTCAAGTGGCGAGAAACCCACATAAAAATCATACCAAGATCTAAATTTCAATAAGAATCCATTCTTACATCTAACTTTGATACCCTGTAGTGTAATAGAATTAAGTATGATCACTGTGCCAATTAGTCAAAAAAGTTGTTTGTATATTGACAATTTTCAAATTGTTATTCACACTCTGCTGTTAATTTTAGTTATATTGTATTGCTGTGGCTAAAGTATGATACAGTCAAAACCTCCTCTACCCTTGTTGTTCTTGTATTGAGAATTTTAAGATAGCATGTAAGAGCCAACTACCCATTTGTACAGTTGAGATCTCTAATTTTTATTTGTCATTGTTTGTCGAAGCAGTTGTCATTGTTTGTCAAAGCAGTCCATAGGACCTGCAATGCGACCTTTGTTCTTGGTTATAGGTGAATCAGATCTGGTTACACAGACAGCCACATTTGAAAGAAGGGAACGAGAAAGTTTGGTACCATACTTCCAGCACCAATTGGCAAGAATTTCAAAATTGCGACACTATTTTTTGATTTGTACGTAACATGTACAGTCTGCAAAAATCAAAAGTTTGCCAATTTTGTCCTGAAAGACAAGGTTGAAATTGCTTTAAAATAAACTAATCTCAAAATACTCTTCAAGATCTTGTAGAGCAAGGTTTCAACTGATTTAGATATTTGGCTACCCCAAAAATTATGTTCTTTAACATTTTTATGCAGACTAAATTTGTTTGTATCAACTTTTTTAAGTAAATCACTTTTTTTAATGGTAATTTTTTTTTTAGGTTTATTGGATCATTCTGAACAAAAAAGGCTTCCAATTTTCTCTAAAGCTGATATTTTCGAGTCATAAGTGATTTATGTTTGATAAGCTTTAAAAATGGATATATTGAATGCTTAAAAAATGGTTAAAAATAATCATTTTTGAGATTGGCAAGTATCTAAATTACTTTTCAAACCTTTTGAGATTATTTTATCATTTTTTAACCTGCTGTTGTGCCAAAATTGGCAATCTTTTCAGACTCATCATGAAAACAATGTCACCAATTTCCTTCATCTGTCTGCTCACTCTTGGCCTCTTAACTTAAAAATACTAATTGGATGTTAATGAGATTTTGAAATAAAATTACTAGTATGCAAAGGACCAAAAAGCTTTGTGAGTTTTAAAATTTGATCCAGTGGCAACAGGTATATGTACAGTCAAAATGAAAAGCATATATTGATGAAACTACATTCTTCACTGTTTTGCATTTTCTTTGAAAATTTTTTTGAAGGCTAAAAATTGGTGGTGAGGGGTTGGAGCATGACAGTACACTTCATTTCCAATCCTGACACTATTAAAGAGATTTGACAAACTTCCCTCTAAAGTCAAAATCACAAAAGATGACGATTACATCATCATTTTTGTCTGCAGTAAAGACAAACAACAGCGATTTGTGAATATCTTTAATGAAGTTTCAGATATGTTAGACAGAGACAAACATAATTTTATTGTCTAAACAAACTGTATTGCTAATTTGTATGTATCTGACAAAGATAGACGATGTTTTCATGTTGCATGATCAATCATATTTGAAAGATGAATAGTTAGGTTATGTTAAAGCAGGTTAGGTTGTTTTCAAATAATACTTTGGTCTTTGGTGTTCCTGTCTCAAGGTATCCTATGCATAACTGTTTTTCTCAAAACAAAAACTCCCCACTAAAATTGTTATTATGGTATCACTCAAAACCGTGAAATAAAATGAAAACAAAAATAATCAGTGAAATAACCTAACTTCGCAAAATCATAATATAAATTTGTTGTCATTATGTTCCATTGCGATTTTATCATCGAGGTATGTCCATTGATTACTTCAGTGCAATTTATGGTATGACATAATAATCATCTTTCGTGACTTTGCCTATATATTTGCTCTTAAGAGTTTGAATGATAGAAATATCAGTGCTCCTGTTGTGCAAGGAAAATAGGGTGCTGTTGCGTCTTGTAGAACTTCCGATTTCACTGTTTTTTCCCTTAAAACTTTTAGAGGGTAGTCTGATAGATTATTTAGAAACAAAAAAAGTGTGGATGAAGCACGCTTTTCATGAAATTTTTTTTCCAAAACACTGTATTACTATTTTTAGCTGTTCTTTCCACCGCCATCTATCTGCCGTATGACGTAGACGTCTGTGCATGTCACATCTGAGAGGCGCTTGCCTGCGGTGTTGCCGGATTGGGCTCCGCATTTGGGGAAAAATATGAAAAGTGGAAAATTTATATACATATTAATGAATTACAAAAACGAAAAACTAAAACAAACAACAGTAGCAAAATAAAAGACGATTCCTAATAAGTGTGAATCAAAAATAACAGTGGTAAGCTAAAAAATGTTCAATTATAAATGATTATAAAAAACAAAAAATAAAAAAGTAGTAAAACAAAAAAAAAACAATTCCATGTAATTATGAAAAACAAAAAACAACAAACGGTAAAATAAAAAGCAAATCTAAGTGATAACAAAAAATAACAGTAGAAAAAAAGCCCATGTAATTATAAGAAACAAAAAATAACAAAGAGTTGAATAAAAAGCAATTCTAAGTGACAAAACAAAAAGTAAAAACAGTAGTAACACGAAAAACAATTTCATTCCATCCAAATTGCCTTTTATTTTACTGTTTGTTATTTTTTGTTTTTATAATTACATGGAATTGTTTTTTGTAATACTACTGTTTTTTTTGTTTTTTATAATCACTTAGTATTGCTTTTTATTATACTGCTGTTCGTTATTTTTTGTTTTAAACTTTGTAAGAATAACTTTTAATTTTACTACCGTTGTTTGTTTCAGTTTTTTGTTTTTATATTTCATTAATTAATATAAATGTATATAAATTTTCCACTTTTCATATTTTTCCCTAAATATGTAGCCCAATCCGGCAACACCGCAGGCAAGCGCCTCTCGAATATGACATATCCACACCCGGCAATGTCATATGGTAAATGGCTGAGGAAATAATGGGGGGCAATAACTGATAACTGCTAAAAAATACAGTGTTTTAGGAAAAAAATGCTGCATCCACACTTTTTATGATTTAAAATAAACTATCAGACTACCCTCTATAAGTTTCAAGTGAAAAACAGTGAAATCCGTTCTACAAGACGCAACAGTACCGGAAAATAGAATATGAACCTGTTGCAAGCTGGCCTCTGGCAACACAGGTCACAACATTGCAACATAGGTGGAGACTGGGGACTAATTGTATACCTATGTGGCTGACAAAAAACATTCAATTCATTTGTGCAGATCACATTTTTTTTAAAATAACAGCATAATTCCATTACTATTAGTAGAAAAACTAATGAGCTACAAAACAACGAACATTATAAAAAAGTTACAAAAAATTATTGCTTGGATCAAAATTAATGAAAGATTCCATTAACAAATTCTCATTTTTTCTCAAAATTAGATATTAGATGACAGCACAATGAGTGCATGAGTAATAGCGATTACTAAACACATATTCCCACACTACTTTTGATCACTAGTGTATTTATAACGATCGTGGAAAATTCCAAGGTATTCATCTAGTTCAAAGGCGTGACCCTGGTCACATTGTATCTAGAATAATCATGCATGTAATATAAATATCGTTTGGTGGTTCTCGAATGCCGTTATAAGGAGTCATAAAGAAAAACGTACTCTAAAAGGTTAGACACAAAAGTTCACTGGACGGCTGGACGCCATAAAACACGCCTTCAAATGTTGAAATGACAGGAAGGATTCTTAAGTTTTTCCACATGTTTACAACAGAATTTGAACTGGTTCTACTCCCATGACCTTTATTTGAAAGCACATATCTACACCTTATCACCTGAATCACAAAGCAAATGATTCCAACTCCTTATGAAAACGAATTCTGTGTGCAAAAACGCATCCGGCTTACGACTTGGTTAAGGCAGCATGGTTGGCACATGTAATGATAATGGAAAATAACAGCAATAACGTGCAAATAAAACACTCACCTCAATTACAATCCTTCCCAGCGGCTGTCCGTCGGCACTCATATCAAAAAATACCCTGGGGAGACCCATAGTTTCGCAAAAACTTCTTGCTAATGTTAAGAAACTAGATGGTAAATGCAAACTTACGGATCTGCCGGCGAATGCGCTTTGAAAACCGGCTTGACGGGAAAGGGAAGCAAGGTAGGAGGCCATCTTTGCTGCCGGATGTACTACTGCAGTCGTTTAGTGAATATCGGTAATATTTTATAATTTTAAGTTAGAATTAAAACATTCGATTTGTTTTAGTTAAATAATAAATGTGAATTTAAAAAATAAACGTGGTTATCAAGTACGTCAAGATTCTAATTTTGTAGTTCAAAATGAAAAATGTGAAAAGTCATCATGCACAGGACCGCACTCAGGAAGAGTACCCATACCTAATACTGTCCCTACGATAGACGGTCATTTCATGAATCTTGCTTTTACATTGGATATTTTCCTGGAGGAAATCGTAATTACTGTTCGATTCAGATTTTTTTGTTGATGAGAGTATCCACTTGTGATGAATTTATTATAAAATACTCGTGCATTTCCAAGCAGAACATGCGACATATGGAAACTGAACCTACCCTTCTTACATAGTTTGCTTGTCGTTCCCCTTGTCACTTGTCATATGTCATGCTCGATGACGTAATCAACGAATAGTGTTAATGTTTTATTTGCCAAAATTGATTTATTTTGTCATTAAATAAGAATTTTTATTACTGATATTCCAGTGCTGGAAGAGTTTTTTCATAAAGTCTATATGTAATATTTAGAACGTGCGTAGTATTGACTATGAATAATCTTAATTTCAATAATAAAGCCTGGGGTAGCCCAAACGCAGCAGAGATGCTGAACCGAAACACCTTACAACCACCCCCATTGATGAGCCAAAATACTGGATTAGGGAATCTTGGAAGAAATATTGTGCCTCCTTTTCAACAACCACAGCAAGTGTTCCAGAATACCATGGGGCTACAACAACAAAATATAGGTTAGTTATGCTATGATACTTTTTACACTTTTTTTTGTGGTATACTTACAACAAATGCTATTTTGTTGTTCTTTACTGCTTGTCCGTCAAATGTATTAACTTTCGAGACACTGTGCGGTAAAAATATACTTTTTTAATTTCTGTAATACCACTGTGGTAGATATTTTAATGAAATTTTGCATTCATGTACTATGTTTCAAGAGGCATTTTTTTTTTTAGAATTTCACCTGCCTATTTTGGCAGACAATGATGGTACACCACTGATTTCTCTTAAAATAAAAATTGTTGATCAAATCCCCAATTTACCTAATCAAATTTGGTATCTTGATTTTTTGAATCTGATAACGGTTTTCACTTGAAAAAATTGAAAACACTTCTCTGCATGATCAGAGCAATATTGTTCATATGACAATATCACCATGCAGAGAGATAGCTTTATTTTTTTAAGTAAAAACTGTGCATCAGGCTAAAACAACTCAAGAGATTTAATCTGCTCATAAATGAATACAGACATAAATATTTTTTATTTTAAGAAAAGTCAGTGACGTGCCTCTGCTCTTATGCAACCCATGCTGTCATACATTAACTACATTCTGTTTCCTAATTAAAATTGTTAGTTCTTCTAGCCATATGTGCAAATCCTCCTGTAGAACTTGGCCTTTCTGACAGGAAAAAAAAGGTCCAGTTAAGTAATTTCCTACAATTCCAGCCCAGACAATTAACAAAAATTGTTCATGACAGTTAAATTCTACAACTTTATGGGGGTTTTCCTCTGCCCAAATACGGCTATTGTGGAAATATCTGATTGTTTCTGAAAAATATAGCTTCATTTGTAAACATTATTTCACAGTCAAACAAGGGGTTATGCTCAATTTTCTCTAAAAACAAACACACACCACATTCCTGCTCGATTTGAAAAATAGAGCTATCATTTATCAATGAATTGCTGGTGCTGGTTCAGTCTTTGTCAAGCATTTTCCTGACAGCAGCAATGTTTTCCTCCTTTCCTGACATTTGTGGCCTTCCTTCCCTCTCAGCATCCTCCAGAGTGAAATTGCCCCATTGGAATTTTCTGTACCACCTGAATATAGTCATATGATGAGGATAATCATTCTTTAATGCAAGCATCATTTCTTCTAAGCTCTGGTCTGTGCTTAAACCACTCATAAAGTTATACTGTAAAACTGCCCTTATCTCACTATGTGACCACGATGCCACAGTCTGCACTTTACACTGTCAATATGAATGAACAACTAAACCAACAGACGTCCTGCTGGCAGCTACTATGCACTCATGAACATGTCTCAACATGCAGCATTGCATCCATTTGTTAAGTCATATTGCAAAATTTTTATAGTAACCTTTGTACCATGTCCAGGAATTTCATCAATCGAATGGAAAACTGCTTCAATTTCTGGAGTTCTTACAGTCCGATGGGCTCCTTGGTTTCAAAGTACCTGTTCAGTCAACCTTCTTATGTACATTTTCAAATGTTCCCCTATCTGGTATGACTATTAGGAAACTGCTCTTCATACATTTGAGTAGCTTTCAGCGATCTGCTATCAGCCAAACCATACCCTCATTAGTAAACTCGACCATTCCTTTTCAAATTAACAATGCTCGGATATTTTAAACAATAAATGAATAAGACCCAAAGAACAAATTTTAAAACTGAAATAATGACAACTGACTTAACAATAAAATTGATAATTCATACAGTTACAGTATACTACAATGATAAGTAATAATTCCCTCCCACTCCTATAGTCTAATCATATTACCAAATTAACCTGAAATAATTGTAAAATCTTGTTTTATTGATGCAAGTTGTTCAAGGGGGTATTTAAAACATGGACGCATAAAATTGGTACACCAATTTTTGTGGCAAAACTTTTTATTTGATAACACAAAATGAGAAAACTTGTTATTTGAGATTCAATCGAAAGTGTTGGCAGGAACCACAAAACTTTTCAACCAAGATTTTTAGGTATTTATGAGACCAACAGAATCAACCACACGTGAAAAGATCCGACTAATAGCAAAAATGTTATGGCCGAAAAACGAGGCAAATTGCAGGTTTTGGCATTTGTTGGTAATGCGACGATAATTTCACGCAACTACTTGGAATTCTTCAAATCCGTGAGATTTATACTTCTAAATAACAACAACAAAATTGAAGTCGATTGGTCAAGTAGTCTTTGAGAATTTATAATTGTTTATCCCAAAACAGCAATATATACAGGGTTCCTTCGCAGTGCATTTTATAGCAAAATACACGAATTTACCTTGCCGACATAAATCACAAACTATTCCGAAAGATAATTGTTGTTTTTATGCGAAAGGGTTACGTTTTTTTTCTTCTAAACAAATTCAAACATTTCATATTTGTGAGTAATTGAACATATTCCCTACGATATCAAAAAAGATATGTTATTATACACATTTTAAAACAAAGCTGATGGGTCTATCACCTTTTGTTGCGAAGAAAACAATTTTTTTAAGATTTTCTCATACTCTTTAGTATATATATATTAAGAGCTGAAACTTTTACACAGTCACAGATGAGGCCTAAAGTTTATAAAAAAAATATTTCATACTGAGATGCGCTGATCTGTTTATAAAGTTAGCACCCAAACTGCAGACACAATTATGTTTCAAACTGTCTTAGACTAGTTAGTATGTAGTTTGTGCTAAATGGCTGCATTATTGATGACTGCATGACTTTGTCAAATAAGTAGGTCACATTATCCAGTTTCTTTACAAAGAAATATAATCCCTGGAGCTTTTTTCTAAAGGTATTAATATAATATACGTCTGTTTTCGACTGCGAGTTAGTTTAAAATATTGGAAAATAAACTCGAGAAAACGAAAAAACAGTAGAGAAATATCAACCAATCGTAGCGAACTCAAATTAGGCAAAATGCTCCGTATTAGTCCCTAATACATTATTTAAAGTTTCAGCATTGTATCTTGTATTGTTTTAAAGAGTATTCTGATTGTTTATAATATATATATATATATATATATATATAACAAAAATAGGAAAATAATGGGCAAAATCCGCAAAAAGTGGATTCGAGCAGAAAATAGGATAGGTAACCCGAGCGATACGTATTTCTGCTGGTTGGCTTGATCATACGTATCGCTCGGGTTACCTATCCTATTTTCTGCTCGAATCCACTTTTTGCGGATTTTGCCCATTATTTTCCCATTTTTGTTATATACCTTTCTCTGCATGATAATTTTCTCTCTATATATATATGTCTCCAACGTTCGCTTGAGATTTGTCAGTGTCAAGTGTAGTGGTATGAACATGCAGTAAACCAAGAGGTGTCGTAGCGTAATGAGAAAAAGCGGCGATTGCTGAACCGCAGGACAGAAGTACAAATCCACTAAGCTCCTTTTTTCTTGCTATAATTTTTTTTTTAATTTGGAGAAAATGCTTTTTCACATTATGTGTACTTTTATACTTTTATTGCGATCAAACAGTGTGCACAATGTGCAGATAACAATACGAAAAAATGAGCAGCATTATGGTGGATATGGTTAATAAATACAAAATGTCAAGGAATCCCTGATATAGTTTCATTCTATGCACAACAATAAAAATTTTAGACGGAAAAAAGGATTATGTCACACTCCAAGATATAATTGAAATTGCTTAATTTCCGATTTTTTGTATATTTAAATTTCACGTTGTGCTAGAGCTTCCTATTTTCCATCACTCCCGAAAAGAGAGATTACCTCTGTGTTATGCTGCCACAATACAAAAATACAACAAAAATGTCTTCACTCTTGATGAAGTGAACATCTACTCTTAACAGTAACTTGATAAATACAACAACTGTGGGTTAGCTCACCTAATATATGTATATATATATATATATAACTCGAGACGTGGTCATTGTCGTCTAGACCAGTTAGGTGAAAAATTAAAGCTTGACATTGACAACCTTCGGCCTTCTGTCAAAGGTTCATCTCACTCATTATTCCATGACCACCATTTTGTGCAATCATCAAGTGGCTTCACGACATAATGCTCTAATGTTTTTTAAATAATTTTTAATCTGTCTTTAACTTGTCTTGTCATATTTTATATAATTTTAACCATTGTACCATGTATCCAACTCTCACCATGTTACTGGACGTTTCCCTCATTCTATACGTAAACAACAATTAGCAACATGCTCACATACTACTGTAAGTTGATTCAATTTAAATTCATTTTACACTTTTGTTGCTACTGTTATCATTGTAATTGCAGCTCCTGATGATGATGGCAAAGTCCATTGAAAGCTAGAGAGAATTAAAAAAAGTATAAAGAGTCCTCTTTGCTTAAATTTTGTCGAAGTACCCAAGAAAAGGCGGAAGCTTTAAGTTTTCACCTATATATATATATATATATATATATATATAAATATCCTCTGCGGCTCCAAGAGGTACCTAATTTGACGACGCATCGAAAACTTGAGCGTATTATCACAAACAAAATTTCGGATGTCTTTCATTATTGTTGGTTAATAATTTACACATCTAAGATATATGTTTTCAAAAATTATCTGCTATGATCCGACATGTTTCTGAAAGTTCGTCATGCGTAGACATTTTTTGCATAGTTTGTATTTTTGTATTATGGCAGCCTAACACAGAGGTAATCTCTCTTTCCGGGGGTGATGGGACAGAGGAAGCCCTAACACAACGTTAAAGTTTAATATACAAAAAATCGGAAATTAAGCAATTTAAATTATATCTTAGACTGTCATAATCCTTCTTTTGCGTCTAAAATTTGTATCGTTGTGCATAGAATGAAACTATATGAAAGATTCATTGACATTTTGTATTTATTAACCATATCAACCATGATGCTAATTATTTTTTCGTATTGTTATCTCCACATTGTGTAAGATATACCTATGTTTTCAAAAATTATCTGCTTTGATCCGACATAGTGTTTCTGAAATCCCATCAAATATAAAAAAATTATAAACAATCAGTTTCCTGGTTGCAAGCTTATATTATGGCGTGCGAAAAACTGTTTGATCGCAATAAAAGTACACATAATATGAAAAAGCATTTATTCCTCCAAATTAAAAAAAAATAATAGCAAAAAAAGGAGCTTTGCAGATTTGAACCTACGCTATGATGCCTCTTGGTTTACTGGAACTTTATACCATTACACTTGACACTAATAAATGTCAAGCGAACGTTGGAGACATATATCAAATATGTTATAAACAATCAAAATACTCTTGAAAACTATACAAGATACAATGCTTGAAAAAATATTTATCTACTTTTTTTTCGTTTTCTCGAGTTTATTTTCCAATAGTTTGAACTCACAGTTGCTTTAATCGTACGAGATTTCGAAAAGTGACGTATATGACATTAATACTTTTAGAAAAAAGGTCTAAGGAATTATATTTCTTCGTAAATAAACTCGATTACGTGACCTACTTATTTGACAAAGTCATGCAGTCATCAATAATGCAGTCATTCAGCACATGCTACATACTAACGAGTCTAAGACAGTTTGAAACATAATTGTGTACTAAGTTTGCGTGCTAAACCTATAAACAGTTCAGTATGAAATATTTTTTTTATATATTTAGGGAAATATGTATACATACGAGTATGAAGAAATCTTGACAAAAAAATTGTTTTCCTCGCAACAAAAGGTAATGGACACATTCGCTTTGTTTCAAAATGTGTATAATAATGTATGCCTTTCGAATATCGTAGCGAATATGTTCAATTACTCACAAATACGTTGTTTAGAAGAAAAAAAGTAACCCATCGTTTTTCGCATAAACACAACAATTATCTTTCGGAATGGTTTGTGATTTATGTCGGCAAGGTAAACTCGTGTATTTTGCTATAAAATGCTCTTAGAACGAACCGTGTATATTACTCAGTAAACTAGTAGTGATGGCCGCAAGATAGGTGTTTTTTGATAAACAATTAGAAATTCTCAAAGACTACTTGACCAATCGACTCCAATTTTGTTGTGGTTACTTAGAAGTATGAAGCCTACGGATTTGAAGAATTTCAAGTAGCTGCGTGAAATTATCGTCGCATTAGCACCAAGTGCCAAAACCCACATTTTGCCTCTGTTATCGGTCATAACTTTTCTACTATTACTCGGATATTTTTACGGGTGGTCTCATTCTGTAGGTCTCATAAATACCTAAAAATCTTATTTGAAGAGTTTTTTGGTTCCTGCCAACGCTTTCGATTGAATCCCAAAAAAACACGTTTACTCATTATTTGTTGCCGAATAAAAAGTTTTCCCACAAAAATTGGTGTACCCATTTTATGCGTCGTTATTTTAAATACCCCCTTGAACAACTTGCATCAATAAAACCAGACTTGACAATTATTTCGCAAACCAGAGATATTTTCGTTTAACATGATTAGACTACTACTCAAATAAATTGTATGATTCATTGAAATACTTCCAAAATACAAATTATGAATATGGAGTATCTAAACTCTGATGTATATTTTTGAAATCCTTATCCACTTGCGAGCAGATTTGATCTGTTGAAATTTTTAGTCCGACGCTGGATTTTCGCCTAAAAAATCTATTTCTCTTCATGGTGATGTTGTTATATTACCCATATTTTTATGATCGGGAAGAGAAACGGTTTTCATTTTTTTAAGCAAAAACCGTTCATCAGATTGATGAAACTCAATTTGCTCAAAAATATTCTGCCACCTAACTCTTAACACAAATTAAGATCAAAAGATATAAATACAATAAAATGTGTAAATTATAGCATATTATTCATATAAATAATTTTGTGACTCCAAATTTGCTGTTCAGAAATTATTTTTCTAAATTGCTTTTTGTAATCGTTGACGTTTGTCGTGATGTATAATGTCATATAACATCCAAAAAAACATCTTATTTTCGAAAATTTTCGCACCTATAATACTTCCTCGCCACTAGGCGTGCGAAGTAAAAATGAGCCAATGAGGAATTTATTTCTTGTATAAACAATATTTATTAAATGTTTTTTCCTTTTTAGCAGGATTGGGTCGTGGACTTGGTCTGGCTAATAGTGCAATGAACACAACACTGAATCCACAAATTGGCACAAATCCTTTGTTCCAACAAGTAGCCTATCCCAATACCAGAAATTTGAGTGCAAATGTCAACACTGGTTTAAACCCTGCTGCTTTCAAGAGTACTGTACAGCAAACAGTACAGAATTCTGGAACAGGAGCTAAACAGAGAGTATTTACAGGTTAGTGCTACACATAGTATTTTACAGTGCTTTTTATAACATTGAGCAAGTTAACGCAGTCACTAGAAAAATGCCGAATAACCTTTATTTTTATCATTGTTGAGAACCATAACTCTCCAATATGTTAATTCAGGCAGTCCAACATAGAAGTAAGTATGGAAAAAACAGGTAAATTTGGTAAAAAATATTTCAACCATATTTGGTTATGGTCAGAAATACGAGGGAGTTTTGCATATAGAAACATAGTAGGCCGCGCGGATCGAACGCCAGTACTGAATCTTAACCTCACTCTTTAGTAAACTTAAATTCAAAGTTTCACAACAATACGTGCAGTGTTCTCACTACAGTGAATTTTTAAGTATCACCAAGTCATTAGAAAAATGGAACTCAACCGAGAACATTTTCGCGCCATAATTTATTACAACTTTCAGAGCAATTATCGCAACAAGAATGCCTTGCTGAGTTACTGTTTTTGGCAACGAAGCGCCACATCAGTCGACAATTTCCCGTTGGTATGGAGAATTCAAATGTGAACGGGTGAGTCTTAGCGACGGCTCCAGGGTGGGTGCACCAAAAACGGCAGTCACCCAGGAAAACGTCGATGCTGTCCGCAAACTCATCATTGAAGATAAACATGTGACATATCGCGAGATTGAGGCATCCTTGAAGATCTCAAAGACCTCAATTCAAAAAATTTGACATGAAGAATTAGGAGTAAGAAAAGTAGTTTCTCGTTGGATACCCCACCTGTTGACTGAAGAGCAGAAAGCAGCCAGGGTTAATTGGTGTCAAAAAACGCTTGACCGTTTCAATTCCGGAAACTCAAAAAATGTGTACAGCATTGTTAGTGGTGATGAATCGTGGATTTACTGTTATGAACCAGAAAATAAACGACAGTCGGCTGTTTGGGTGTTCCAAGGTGAAGAAAAGCCAACAAAAGTCATCCGTTCTCGAAGTGTTTCAAAAAAGATGGTCGCGACATTTTTGTCAAAAGCGGGTCATATTGCAACAATTCCTCTTAATGAGCAAAGAACTGTTAGTGCGAATTGGTATAACACCATTTGTTTGCCAAAAGTCATCACCGAGCTTCGAAAAATTAACCTCGAAAGAAGAATCATCCTCCACCAAGACAATACAAGCTCGCACACAGCCCAAAAAACAAGGCAGTATTTAACGGAAGAAAACGTGGAATTATTGGACCATCCTCCATATAGTCCCGATCTAAGTCCTAAGTCCTAAGTCCTAACGATTTCCCGAAAATCAAAAACAGACTGCTTGGTCAAAGGTTCCAGTCACCAGAAGAAGCAGTTGACGCATTCAAAAATGCCGTTTTGGATCTGCCAGCAAACGAGTGGAATAAGTGCTTCGAAAATTGGTTCGAGCGCATGCAGATGTGTATTAATCTTCGTGGAGAATACTTCGAAAAACAATAAAGTCATTTAAAACTACCTACCATGTTGTTTTATTTCCATATGCACAACTTAAAAGACATCCCTTGTAATGGAGATATTCCATAAAAACACCTATATTCAATATGTCATTTTCTATTTTATTTATTTGCTTTAAGTTATCATGAGTATTCTAAAACAGCGGTCTGTGTAATATTAGCAGTGATTCAAAAAAATAGTGGCAATACTTTTCTGTGGAATCATATCCAGGCAATAATCACTAATGTAGCAAAACAGATATGAGGAAAACGAGTACTAGGAAAAACAAAGAGTGGTTCGATGAGAACTGTAAATGGGAATTGGAACAAAGACAGAAAGCTAAAATACAAATGGAGCAGAACAGCAGAGTCAAGGAAAAGATATGAGCATGCTAAACGAAAAGTGAAACAGTTGTGTAGAGAGAAAAAGCGTGAATACTGGGAAATGAATTTGAAAATGATAGAAGATCACATGATCAACAAAAACATTAAGAACTTTTACCAGGATGTAAGAAGAAGCAAAATGGTTAGTCAAAGGTCTTCTTCCCTTTATAAAGGCAAAGATGGGTGGGTCATTAATTGGTGACACACCTGGAAAATTAGAAAGGTGGGTCCAACATTTTGAGGACCTGTTAAAGCTATCAGACGAAGAGGAAAGGAACACAGAAGCAGCACCACTAATCGAAGATGACGACCAGGGACAAATACACAAACCAACGGATCTGGAAATAGAGGAAACAATAGGGAGATTAAAACACAATAATAAAAGCGGCTGGACAAGATTTACACAAGTGACTTGGAGGTCTGATCAGATATACAGGGTGACTTTGAAGTTGAGTCATTAATTTTCAGATAATGATTGTAGAAGGAAGATAAACCAAAATATGTGTGTAAAAATAAAAAAAATTAAAAAAAATGTTACCTTGTTTTATAAAGTATCCTCCCGACAAGTATTTCAGTGCGGACCTGTATTTGATCGTGAGGTCTTGGGGCACCGGCATGCCGTCACCTGATTCACGAGCCAGTTGTACTACATTAACAAAGGCACGAGGGGTTGGTTGCACTCGATTGGGAAACCGATCCGCATAAACATGTGCCATTTTTTATTTCGTTTGAGCCACGCAACAGACACCACTATTCACTGACACTGACTGTATACAAATGAATAAAATAATTGTAAAAACATCGTTCCAAATTCTTTCGCTTTTTTGTTTCCGATGCGATGAACCGATACGGCGGATTATATCCGTTGTCGCCAAACACGAGCACATAATATTATTATTGAGACAGGGCGGTACTCAAACTTCCAAAGGGCTATAACTTTGTTACTTTAATTTTACCAGAAAAATGGTAAAGGAAAAAACATTTCTTTTGATCAGATCTACTCACTGTTAAAATAAATGACTCAACTTCGAAGTCACCGTGTATATGGAATCAAGAGGAACTACCAGATGAAAGGAAAAACGCCGTAATCTGACCAATACACAAAAAGGTGATAAAAGTTCATGTGAAAACTATAAAGGCATTGCCATGTTAGACATTGCATATAAGATACTAGCATTTCAACTAAGGGACAGATTGAGCATATATGTATATGAAAATGAGGTTATAGGTGAATATCAAGGAGGTATTAGAAGGGGCAGGTCCACAATAGACCAAATATTCACAATGAAACAGTTGTTCTACAATAGCTATGAACAAAATCTTGGTTTACATGCAATATTTATTGATTTCAAGCAAGCATATGATTCCATTGACCGAGAAAAATTATATGAAGCTATCAGACTGCTAGGAATACCAAGTAAACTGATAAGGTTAGCCAAAATGACAATGAACAAAGTCACATTGGAAGGGAAAACATCTAGAGCTTTTAGCGTAACGAGAGGCTTGAGACAAGGGGACCCGCTATCTACAACATTGTTTAACTTTACGCTGGAAGCTATTTTACGTGATTGGGTATACAAACTAACCGAGTTGTTTACTATAGAAAACATCAGTTGATTGCTTACGCCGATGATATATCAATAATAATCAGATCCAAAACAGAACTTGAAAAGACGTTTAGGAGGTTAGAAGAAACTGCCAAACGTTTTGGGCTTCATATAAATGAAAACAAAACAAAATATCTAGAAATGAGAGGAAGCGACGAAGGAAAGTTAACAATAAAGAGTAGTTGCAGAGAATCCTGTTTCGAGAAGGTGAATAAATTTGAATATCTAAGGGTCACAATAACACAAGCAGAAGAAGATTTGGAAATTGAAAAAAGAATAGCAAAAGGGAGTAAAGCAATGGGGGCTTTAAGCAGGATGATAAACTCTCGGTGGATATCAAGGAAAACAAAGGAAGGGATATACAGGGTGTTCCAGAAGTCGACGTCAAGCCGAAACCGGGTGACAGGCAAAGTCATAACAGCTATCAGAAAAATATTTAAAAAAAAATTATGTATGTGTTTTGAAAATTATAGGTCTTTGAAAAAAATATAGAAATTTCGCACCCTACGGCAGTCTGTCAACTCCTGTTACTACAAATATTAACTTTTTTTTGATTTTATTTTTACAATGTAATGATGAATAATGCATCTGCAAACTGGTGTCTCAACCTTACTGCCAACTTTTCTCGTTCAGGAAAAATTGCCACTTATTTCCCAACCAAGTATTCCAAAGTAAAACTTTGCTCAACTTTAACTTTCTGTACTGGAAAAAATGTACTACGAGAGTTTGGCAAGTAACCTTAAAAGTTGGCGCATTTAATAAGGATTCCAAAATGGTTTAACACTTAGAAGATTACTCGTTATCTTATGCCCAATTTTTATTTGAAGAAAAACTGATGAAAATTTTTCAAAATTTCCTAATTAAACAGCGATTATGAAAACGCACGAGGACCCTTAAGGATAACTTTTTGCACAACAGTGGGCGTCAAAATGCTGCTGATGATGATTTACCTTTACAGCAAATGCTCAAACTGTTTTCCTTCAGCCGCAATACACGCTCGACATCTTCTTAAAAAAGATCGGGTTATTAAACGAGCGAATCCACGGTTATTAACAAACTCAGCTGCTTCCAATAGTCTTTGCCGTAGCTCAGCTACATTTTGAATCGGCTTGAAATACACTTTTTCTTTTACAGTTCCCCAGTAAAAAAAATCTAACGGATTCAAATCTGGTGACCGGGCTGGCCACGGTATTGTACCAGACCGCCCTATCCATCTGCCTGGAAAGTTTTGACCGAGATACTCTCTCACTGAGAGTGCATAGTGCGCTGGGCAGCCATCATGGTGAAACCACATGTCAGTGTAAATACTCAGTGGCACGTCCTCCAATAAATTTTCTAAATGATTTTGCAAAAAACCTAAATAAACCTCAGCAGTCAAAGTCTCTGGGAACTCAAACGGACCGATTATTTTACCATTTAAAATTCCTGTCCAATGGTTTATCTTGAAGCGATATTGAGATTTATCTTCTCTCATCAAATGTGGGTTTGCTACGTGCCACTCGTGTAAGTTATGCAGGTTCATGTACCCATCTTTCTTAAATGTGGTCTCATCTGACCAAAATAGCTATTGGAGCGTTTTTTTTTTGTGGCAAATAAGT